TAATTTATAACTTTAAAAATATTTTTTAAATTGTGTAGTTATTATTTTATAATTCTGTATTTTCCGTGTTTTTCTTGCTGCCCGGCTTCTTTTTCCTGCTTCCAGTGCTAATTGGGGATGATAGATGAACCCACTGCTTGCAGTAACTCAGGAAGTTTTCAGGATTACCACAATGGACCCTACTATTCTTATTTGTATGGCCAGACTTCAGATTGCTCTGAATTTAAAAGCCAGCTTTTACAGATAATTAAATGGGATCAGAATCAGTATCAGTCATCTAATTCACATGCACCAGCGTCTGGGCCCTTAGTAGATTCAGACAACGAATATCCTGCACTTTCTTTATACGATAGCGTAGTTAGATCGCGTGCTCATTTATACGAGTGTTTTGACTCTCCAGAAATCGCCCGGTTCGGGTCTTGCTCGTACGTCATTCTATTCTAAATTGGCCTTCCTTATATTTACATAGAGCCGAAGCATTATATCAATTTAATTTTATATATAGTGGCCAAGATGTCGATCGTCGAATCACAACGATATCTCATCAAAAGCCATCGGGTTCTTTCGAAAGATTTAAGCATTCTCCTTTAACTGCTGTCAGTGAGTTTCGCGTCCCCACAAGTCAGTGTGAATTAATATTCGGAAGCAGCGTAAGAATTGATTTTTATCCTTTGAGATGCATAGTTTAATCTCCTTAAGCCAAGAGCATATTCTTAACTTAGCTACCTGAGCCTGAATATGTAATTTTTCACTCTAGAATGCATCTCATAGACGCCGAACTAACGATTCCGATGTCAGAGTTTCACCATCCATTAAGCGAGACAATGGATCTATTGATCGACAATATCAAGATAAATTTGAGGAAAACGACAAGCAGCTTCGAAGATCACGTGATGATTCTTCTCGAAGAACTGATTACGACAAAAGACGAAAAGATTCACCTGAATACAAGCTTACTAGACGCAGTCCCCTCAAATCGGACGAAAGAGATAGAGATTATAACCGTAGTAGACACACTCCAACCACAAGGGATCGATCACGTCCATATGATAGAGTAAGCGGAAGAGCAAAGTCTTCCGAAGTTGTCCATAAAATTGAACAGAATAGCAAGAATCTGGAGCTCTCTCGATTATCTTCTACTGGCGCGGATCTCGTAGCGGCCCAGCCAATGTGCATATCTGTCGCTACACTTTTAGATGAACCTTTCCGCCGCATTCGTCCGCCCCGGATTGTCATCCTTATGAGAGGACTTCCTGGTTCTGGGAAGACAACTGTGGCTCGGTTAATTAAGGTAAGCGGTTGCTTTGGTATGTACTGTTTTTAGTGATTTTGTTTACGTGTGTTAATGCATCTTGGTATTGTACCAACTTTTCCATTCAAACTTGCTAGTAGATATGTTATATGCACATTTTTATTTACTCTTTCCAATGTTTAAAAAATTTTGATAGTTTAACCCACAAAGATCGCTATTATGTTATTACAAGCCTATTAAAAGTTCTATTATTCTGCTACTATTTGCTCTGTATTTTTATCCTGATATCATAATATTGTCTAAGCTAGATAAATCGTAAGCATAAATTATTTTATAAATCAGGCTTTTGAATTTGCCCTATTAGAAGTTACTCATTTATTTCGAAATGTATTAGATATTATTAAGTGTTTGAGTTAAACCTTATCTGGAAAATC